TTACTACGTCCCCGCCGTTGTTTCTGAGTAACGCTAAAAGTAAAAGTATGAAAACTTCCGTTCTTTCAATTGCCGACGACAAATGAGGTTTTTAGAAAAAAAAATTTGACCTTGAAATAACTTTGAAGGACACCAACAAGGTCGAGTTTGAGGTCACCACTAATTGCAATTAAACAAAATAACTAAAGTAAGTTATTTTCATCAACTGCGTTCTTCGAAGATATCCAGTTCTCAAAATTAAATAACCTTTGAATAACTTTCAAGGTCAACCACGATTTATGGCCTTATAATGTTTTTGGACGTAAAATTTCCCGCTCTTTCGATTGCCGACGTCAAAAAAGGGGGTTTCCATTTAAAAAAATTGAGCTGACCTTGAAATAACCTTCAAGGTCATCGTCAAGGTCAAATCCAAGGTCACCATTGAATTCCCCGTCAAAAGATACTACAAGAGTGAGCTTAACATTTTTCAAAAATAATTTACCTGGGAAATTATTCAGGTGTTTCCAGACTTTTTGGACACCCTGTATATACATACATACATACATGCTTACATGTATTTTGAATTTGTTTAGGATCTGATTTTGAACGCTATGTCGTTCAAAGATTCCAGATTTGGAAATGAAAGTAAATAACGTTGCAGAACGAATAAAACAAATTTTTGATAAGATATCTGATAAAGTACAATCAGAAGAAGAACTGATAAAGGAAGACTTTTTGAAGATCTACCTTTAAAAAATGAAAACGAATTACAAGCCATGGAAATAAAACTTAGCAATAATGTATCTTATCGGAATGAAATGGTAAATATAACTATTTCATTATTTAAAAGTTTCTGTTGAAAAGAACAATAGTTCATGATTGTAGTTTGAGAATTGCAGATCTTAAATTGATATCACTTATATAATTAGACACGCCTAAGTGATGCGTTTAAAGAATAGTTATTTTAACAATAATACTTTTGATTGCTCGTATTTATATAAGTATAATAGTAATTTCAAATTATTGTAGGTCAAACAATTAGCACGAATGATGACAGGGCAAGATGTTAAACATTCATGTTTATGTTTAATGAGACTAATAGTCTCAAACGAAGTTGCGGTACTGTTCAGCTGGCATGGTGCCAAAAAGAAAGGAAATTTTTCCAACCTGAATGTGTATAAAGTAATTTTAAGTAAGTAAAATATTAATAAACAATTTTTGCTTAATTGTTATTATTGAATGAAAAAATTTTCCGAATTTGAAAGATATATTCGCAAATATTTATACCACTAATATATTAATTTTATGAAATATGTAAATATAAATTAATGATATGTGTAATCGTGATATATTAATATTTCTCAATTATGCATGACATTTATACCTATACGTGCATTAGAAACAAAATTATTCATTGCACTTATTATTTTAAATCACATAATCCTATTTTAAAATTTATTAGAAGTTTGTAGTAAGGATAATTATTTTATTAAGTAAGAAATAATGAAGAAATAATATGGAAATTTATTGTTTTTGCAGGTGTGATAAGAAAAGCACATGCATCTGTGAGGGATGAGCAGATTTCTAATACCATAAAAATATGGTTAGCACATGCTAAAGAACGCATGGATCGAGAGAGAGAGAGAGAAAAGAAAAGAGGAAGAAACCAAAGAGATCAGGTTCAATAAAAGGAACCTGAACAACCTGAAGAACTTGAACCAGAAGAACGAGAAAAAGTCGAAGAAATTTAATTGACAAAACATTTCCTTTTTTCAGATGTTTATAATAGAATACGATTTGTACTGTCGGGAAGCCGAAAAAACCTGGAATGTTATAAAATTTATTTTATTTTTAAAAATGTTATAGAATTTGTTTTATTTTAAAAAATGTGAGATTTTTATTGAATTTTATTGTTATTTAGTTAACATTTTGGAAAATTTTACTTTCAAATTCCTTTTCTAATAAAATATGCAAATCCACATGCATTTTCTTGTGACTCGCGAATTTTTTTTTAATTAATTACAATAGAAGACACTATATAATTGTACGTTGTGCGTGTTAATATAATTTATATAAAGTGGGGAAAAAAGATTGGTACTCCTAGAGAACTCAGAAAATAAAAGTTTTATAGAAAAATGTTTCAGACAAAAGTTGTAGGATATAAAGAGGGACGTATAATATTTTATACTTTATGCCTAAATATGCTAAAATAAAGTGTAAAATATCTCGCGAACTATTGATTTTTGGATAATTCTATCTTAATACTTTTATATGCAAAATAACTAAAGGAATCATATTATATAAAAAATCATATGATCCTATTTAAAAAAATGGAGATACCTTTATATCTTTTTGGCGCCTCCACCTAGAAAAGAGACAATGTAACGAGAATACGTCCCCCTTTATATCCTACAACTTTTGTCTGAAACATTTTTCTATAAAATTAATATTTTCCGAGTTATTTAAGGATACCTATCTTTTTTACCTACCCTGTATAAATTCATATTTTATATAAATTCTGTACTTTCGATGAGTTAGATTTATGTATTGCAGACAGATTGTTACAAATTATATCTAGCTCATATTTCTTTTTAGTTTTTTTATATGTTTCGAAATATAATATTCAAAAATCAAATTATTGTTTTCTGTGATTGTATAATTAAGGAACATTAAAAGGTATATAATGAAAAAATAAATTTATTTCAAAGCTAAATTTTAAAAATTCTCTAATTTTATTTAGGATTTTGAATTGTAATGGAAAATCTGGGAATTCTTTTACAAAACTAAAGTAAACACTGTCTAAAAAAGAAAGTGGCGGCGACTTCCTGCCTTGTAAAAGAATTTATATTAATAAAAACGAATTTATAATAAAATAAAAATTTCCAATTAATAATCTAACCTAACCTATATATGAGCGCGCGCGCCTAGCTGCACATATGTGTGTGTGCGTCTATATGTGATGTACTGAAACCTTCCCGTTTTCATTCCGTCCTGAAACTGCCGACATCGCTGCGAACGTTCGCACGACATTCGCAGCGAAATTCTATAGTAGCTGCTACCCCAGACATAGGGACGTACTCAGAACGTACTCAGTTGATCGCAGTACATATAAGAACATTCTGAGATGATCGCAATATACGCATTACGATCTACTCAGAACGTCCTCAGAACGTCCCCGTGCTGTTAGGGTATGTCCACTCCCCCTCTTCATCTTCCTTTAACCCCCTATTAAAAATTTCCCGTCCCGTTTCCTTTATCACCTCCAACAGCACCTTCCCCTCCCTATTAATTTTCTTATCTTCCTCCCTCTAATTCTTCCCAATCTTCATCCCTTATTCCTCCTCCTTCCTCCCCCGTCCTAGCATTAAAATCTCCTCTTATAATCGTATTTACTCCTTTCTCATTTTCCTCTATTCAGTCTCTTAATATCAACATCTTATTCTCAACATCACCATTCACATATACCCCAACCTCCATCTATCCACTTTAACCTGCACCGCCAATATCCCATCCACGTCCCTTATCACTCCTATACTTTCCACCTTTATTCCTAGACTAATCTCTACCACCATCCCCCCATCGCCCTCCCTCTCTTATTCTTCCTTCTTGCGAATTTGTACTTCCCACCTGTACTCTCCCCATAAACTCTCTTTTACACTCTCCCACTCCTTTTTATCTAACCAGGTCTCACAAAATATCATTAGGTCTTACCCTCTCGTCCCTTCCAAAAAGTCCTTACACTTATTACCCAGTCCCGTTACATTCCAAAATGCCACTTTAAAAATCTCTTTCCTTTTTTCTGCCTTCCGTGTTCACCCCCTCTTCCCTCATTCTCCTCTCGGTCTCCTCCCATACTCTTCCCTCATGTCTCCCTTCTCCTCCCCACTTTCTTCCCCTCTCTCTCTCTCTTAACTCACTCCTCATCTCCCCCACCTCCACTTCCTCCCCGATCCCTTCTCCGACTCCTCTTGTTCTCTTTTCGTCCCCCTCCACGCCACCAACCTCTTCTCCCTCTCCTCCCAGAATTACCATTTTCCATTTATCGATATCCTGTCTCCACCTATCCTCACCTCATTCTCTTTCCCTTCCTCCTCCCTTGCCAACACTCTTAATCTCCATCTTATCCTTCTCTCTTTCCATGACAAATCCTCCGTGATCAAAATGCTCTCTCCCTTCAGTTTCTCCTTTCCACTCATCACCCTTTTCTTTTCCTTTTCATCCCCTAGTTTCACTACTATTATATCTCCTCACTCCTCTTTTCCGGTTCTCAACCTTCTTACTTCTCCCACCTTCACCTCTACCGCAATATCTTTCAGGACCTTCTCAATTTGTTCCACTTCCTTCCCCTTATCAAACTTTATCTCTTTCATCACTATATTATTCTTTTTCTCTTCCCTATCCACTCTTTCCATCTTCTTTTCCATCTCCTCCAGCCTTTCTTCCATTCTTCTTATTATCCTTGTTCCTTCACTCTCCGAACCCCCTTCCATCCCTACTTCTAACATCCCGATTCTTTTTTCCAACCCTTCCAATTCTCCCATGTCCCTTCCCCTTTCACTTCCCTCCATCTTCCTTTCCAAGGTTATTATCCTTTCCTCTAACCTCTCCCTCTCCACCTTCCAATCCTCCTCCTTCATTATAATTTCCTCTATCTCCTTTCTTATACTGCTCAAGCTCTCCTCCACTTTTCTCCACATCATTCTCGTCTCTTTCATCATTTCCTTTATCATTCTCTCCAATTTTCCCTCCCCATCCTCCTTCATATTTCTTTCCGGCGATCTTTGTGTCTTCCTACTCTTTTGGAATGCTCCCCCTGTTTCCTTCTCACTCTCTTTCCCTTTAATATCCTCAAAATCTCTTTTCTTTCTCAAAAACTCCTCTAGCATTCCTACGCTGTTCCTTTTTTTCTCTCAAATTTTTCCAACTGTCCTCCTTTTCCCATACCCACCATTTCCTGCATTACCTACTTATCCTAACTTTCATCTACGTTATCTACCTTACTCTCTTTATCCTTCCCTCCTGCTCTCTCCGATAGATGTCCGATAGACTTTCTTTTCTCTTTCCTCAATTTCCTCCAAAACTCACAGTCATCCCAACCTAACCTTTCTAGCTCGACCCACCTTTTACACTCCCTCCTTCTCTCTCACCCACTTCCCTTCACTAACCTCTTAACTCCACCACACACACATCCACTCCCACACCTCTTTCTCCTCCTCTCACCTCCACACTCACTCTCTTTCACTCTCCAGTTTCACAAAATATAGCAGCACCAACTCACACCGACCGTTATCATCCACCGGAAACGGAAGTTCTGTAGCATAAGAATTATTTTTTACGTTTCAATATTGATCCATTAATCAATATATTCTGCAATTTAACTATTACTGTATTTTATCTCCAATAATACTGGAGAAGCGGTAAAACAAGACCAAGATCATTGGAATCGGTTAAAAACAATTATAATCAAGTAACATCGTTACAATTACGACGATGGAAGAAATATATCAATGCAGGTGGTACCAGAAGAGAAAAATTGCAAAGAATTTCTGAATGTATATTTCTGAATGTACAAAAAAATTTCAATGAAGCACTCCAAAGAGGAATGATAATTCATGATATTGACATCGGTCGATGGGCTTTTCGAGCACAACAAAAGATAAATGCGCCAGAATTCATAGCGTCACATATGTGGATTCAAAAAACAACATAATATAGTATTTCTTAAAATAATGAAATTTGTCACGAAAAAATCTTTGTTATCAAAATCAGATTTGGAAAATAAGTGCAAAACATTTACAACAAATGTAAAATATTTTATTAATCAATATGGAGTAGAAAATATTTATAATTCGGATCAGAGTGGATTCCAGTTAGAACTTCACGCCGGTCGTACTTTAGCAAATAAAGATACAAAAACAATAAAATCTGCAGTACAGTCTGTATCAGCAACCATGCATAGTTATACAATACAGTTGACTATTTCTGATGATATTAGATTATTGTCGTCTCTTTTGATCGTATTAAAAGAATCCACAGGAACGTTTGGCCCACGAGTGCAGTAATCATTATTTAACGCTCTTAACATTTATATAATGGCTTCAAAGTCAGATAAATTAACATCAAATCGTGTAAAAACTTAGTTGAGAGAAATTTTCTTTCCGATCGTCGGGCCACAATCCGTATTACTATTAAATTCTTGGAGTGGATATTGTCCCAACATAATTGCCGAAAGTAGGCCAGATTCTGCAACAGATATATATTTTCTAACATTTTCCGGTTGGTACAACGGGAAAAATACAATTACCAAATAACATGGCTTTCGCTTGTGGAAAAATTTTATCAAACATTTTTCTGATAATGTTACTATATGTTACTCGATCTTGCAATTGATATTCATAATAGGAACAATATCTTGAAATTGCATTCATTAACACACCATCAATTTTCGTCACCTAGGTTTTAAAATTTATTTAAATTTGCATGGTTTAAAAGTGGATATTTACAGACTAGACCGCCAGAGTTCGAGACACCAGTTGATTTTTGTTTAAAAAAAGACCCTAAAGTACAATGCGATATTTGTGACGAAACTGCTATAATTACTTGTTCTTGGTGCAAACGATCACTTTGCATCACACATTTCTTCCATGAGCACCACTTTTGTTACGAATATGTGCCATAAGTAAAACACATTTATTTTCTGTGTATGCAAATCCTCTATCGATTTTTCTTAATATTATATTAATTATATGATTTTAAAATATTATAATAACATTATAAATTTTAAACATTATATATTAAATATATGCAATTGTCTATGTATTATTTTTCTACAATTCATTACATTCCCCTACTTACAGTAACGTATCTAGCTACAGTATCCATCTACTTGGACGGCGTGATGCGTATAGCACGATATTAATATAGTAGTGTTTCAATACATCTATAAAATCCGATCTTAGAATATAGAACTACCAACAGTTGTAAAAAAAACTTTTTGATGCTAAACGCGACCAATCCCTTACGGAAAAAAAAAAACTATTGAGACTCAGTACTAAGTATTGGAGTTGTAATACTTAGGGCCGGTTTTTCCCACCTCTTGCTAAGCTAACTAACAGTTAACTCATACGTCTGTCTTTGTTTCTCCTTTAAATTAGGTAGAAACAGACATAAAATTTAACTGTTAGTTAGCTTAGCAAGAGGTTGGATAAATCGACCCTTAGTATTTAAATTGTAACACTGAGCATTCAGAGTTAGTATTAATCAATACTGAAATACTGAGTGAGTTAATACTGAGTATTGAGAGTCAGTATTGGTCAATATTGAAGCATTGAGTGAGTTAAGTATTGATGAATACTGACAAGGAGATGCCACAACCTGCTAAATCGATTTCTGAACGAGTGATAGCACGTTCGCTAGCTGTGATGTTGAGCATCAATATTCTAATTGATTTGCCAATGGGTCTTAGTTTGTGAGAAATTACAGTATAAAGTTTGGATCACAGGACTATATCCCACATATGACTAAAATTGCGACTATCTTTCAAGAAGGCGGCGTAGCTGAGCAGACTGAGCAGACTTCCACGTCGGACATTTTTAAGCCGGCAGCGAGCGCTCGAATTCCGGCAACGAGTTGTCTGCTTGCGATATTTTTTTTTCTTACCTTAGGGCATATAATTAATATTTTTTGAATATAATACATTTGTTTTGCATATGTTTTTCGTTTTTATGCTATTAACCAGGGGTAATTAGGGAAGTATCAAACTTATTTAATGCAAACATGAATATAGACATATAATTTGCATTGCTTATAATGAAATATATTTTTAGTATATTTGAAAATATTATTGGTGCTAATGATAAATAGTGAGAAAGTGATTGTATATGCATCGCATTACTTCGAATGTCCAAATGTATACTTTTATCGCTTGTAAATAAATCAGGATAGTTGTACATTCTCATTATCATACTTTTAACCTGCCTATAAAAAACATTGCACGGCAGGTAGATTGCTGTACATTTCAGCGATATTATTTGCAAATTATATGTTGACTTATATTTTGCAAGCATTTATATACGGTTTATTGTTGTTTTTCATCTAATTATCCCTGATTAATAGTATAACAATGAAAGACATGCAAAACAAATGTATTATATTCGAAAAATATTAATTGTATGCTCTAAGATAAGAAAAAAAAAACCACACACGGACACCTCGTCGCCAGGACTCAAACGCTCACTGCCGGCTCAAAAACGTTCGACGTAGGAGCCTCAATCTGCTCAGCCACGCCGCCTTGCTGAAAGATAGTCGCAACTTTAGCAACATGTATGATACAGTCCCGCAACCTAAATTTTATACTGTAATTTCTTACAAACAAAGCCCCATTGGCACAAATCCCGTTAGGATATTGATACTCAATATCGCAGCTAATAAACGTGCTATGACTCGTTCAGAAATCGATTTAGCAGGTTGTGGCATCTCTTTGTGAGTGTTGAAAGTTATTATTGGTCAATACTTAAATATTGATGTAGCTAAATATTGATAAAGACTTAGTATTGCGAGTTAGTATTGATCAATATTTAAATATTCATTATATCAAACAATATTTATAAAACATTTAAAAATATTTGAAAAAAACATTTTCAAACGTTAAAAATAATGGGGTAAGTTCTCTTTTTTCATTAAAAAAAACGTTTTTTAAACATTTGGATGAATGTTTTGTTTTTTTAATATTTAACAAACATTTATTTTAATATTTAAAAAATATTTTAATATTTAAAAAATATTTAAAAAATATTTTTCTAACCGTTAACATCTAATATTTAAAAAATATTTTCTAAATTTTAAAATAAACGTTTATTAAATATTAGGAAACAAAACGTTAAAAAACGTTCAAACGTTAAAAAACATTAAAAACGTTCTTTTAATTTAAAAAAAAGAGAATTTATTTAATTATTTCTAATGTTTTAAATGTTTTTTTTTTATTTTTTTTTAATTGTAATGTTTTGTATCGTCAACACTTAGATAAACATATTTCATATAAATATTTTATGCATATATTTCTGACTTCTTATTTATTATATGACTTCTTATTTTTATTTTATGAAATATTTGGACTAAATAGTTTATTTTTGTGGTTATACTAAATAATTTTATAAGAAAATTATAATTACTGCTTCGGCTGCATATGGGAATAATAAGAAAAACTTAGTATCAGTTAAAGAAATAGCGCAGCAACCAAGATGGTAGACTAGGAACTTGAAAGTATCCGAGATCTCGAGTTTGCGTCCGACTAGTACTGAATAAATTTTCAGGTGTGAAAATAGTGAGAAATCAAATAAAAACTACATTTCATTTAAAATCAATATTAACGTGCTGTAAGAGATAGTATATTTTAACACAATTCCACGTATATACTTTTAGTACTCATCAGTACTAATTCTTCAAAAAAAGTATTGGCCAATTTAGTATTAATACTAAATATTGCGCGCTTAATAGTTTTTTTCCGTAAGGAATGTTAAGTCAATATTTGACAATATTAAATTTCGACGTCTACAAAATATTGCAATGTAGCGAACATTAGACGTTTTAACAATGTCTTTCCAACGTTGAATTTATCTTTCAAAATGTTGAGGCAACATTGCAATGTCACAACGCAACATTTCTAAAATGTTGATTCAACGTTTGTGTGCTCTGTGGGACGTCTTAAAAATAATCTTTAAAAGGCCTTAAGGGGATGCTGAACGCGATCGCGAACTTCGAAAGCGTCGGTAATGTAGTAGGGTGTATATCAGTTGGACACGGGGCAATTGGACACAATCCAATCACAAGTCGCTGTTCCAAGGGACCCTACAAATGTCTCTAATCACACGGTGCTGTGATTGGCTGT